CCCCAAAACCCCAAAACCCCAAAACCCCTTTGATTCGACCAAGGTTTGAAATTTTTTAGTTTTATTTGGGGTAGAATAGTTTTTAGGGGTTTAGGCCTGGAGAAGGGTTGTTTCGAGTCATTTTTTGGAGAGGGTTCGAGGAGAGGTTTTTAGTAAGGATGATTTTTGAATTTGGTCTTGATTTTAAGGAAATTTTAGATAAGTTCTCTTGCCTTATGTGTGACTCTTGATTTATCTAAATGATGTCAATGAATATTCATTACATGCTTTGCTCTTTGCCTTTCACAAGTATATCTAGTAATTTTTGGGTGATGGGATAGTTTGTCTCTTACACTTCGCTTGCTTCATGATTCTTTTGCACTGCTAAAATAATCTGAAAAAGTAACTATAATGTTTATCAAGATCATTTTGAAGACCAAAATAACTCAAACTATTCCAAAAATATGAGTGCTTCTTGAATCTGATAGCTCATCATTTTCCTTAGTGAATCTAAGATATATCAGTGATATAATAGTGAAGGATGCCTCAAATAGTGCTTCTTGAAAGTTTACGACTGCTCTCTTATATGGCCTCACCACTATCTTCCAAGTCAGCACTCCCACTGATGACACTGACAGAATCGATGCTTGGAGAATTCCGTGATTCCACCCAAAGATAATAGTTCCCACAAATAAAAGTCTCCTGAGCATGAACACCACATGGTCGAGCATGTAGAATCTGCTTGAGGGTTTGAAGTCTTCGAACAACACTTTGACTCTGGGGTGGACTTTGGGTCTGTTGCTTGGAGTTCAGAAGTATATGATCGGAAGACTGAGAAGAGTGATCGCAAAGATGAACAGCCAGAACAACGCCACAATATTTGAGTAATAGTCTAGATAGGTCTGCCACTGGAGATCATAAATATTATAAATACTAGCAAAGCAGACATCAAGAAACACTTCAAAGATGATTCTGATAAAAGTATTAAATAGCATTGTTGTTGAGCTGGAGATATTCCTGATTCTTTGCTTGAGATGCTCCTTAACTCTCGTTCAGCAGGTAGGGTTCTTCTCTTTGGATCTGTATATAGCTGCTTCAACTTTCTCACTTCTGCTTGGTGTCTCTATGCAGAGGGACAAGAGCCATATCAATAGATAAAATATTACCATCAAGAGAACACTTCAGAATGTGTCGGATCAATTTACTAAAATGTTGGTCGATTCTACTCCTTGGTTTTCAAACCTGTAATCCCAAGATGACTTATTCTCAATCTTTGATTCATCGATATGCAACATGTATATATCTGAAAGCACTTCACTTTGAAAGTTCATGCTTCCAAGATGCCTGTACGTGGTCACAATAACCTTCGGAAAATACAAACTCATCATTGCAGAGTAATTAATAAGCTGAATTGTGTTGACAAGTATCCACATCGAAGCCAAACTCTGACCTAACACGACAGCAATAACTAGTTGTATGCCGACTCCTAAAAATGAGACTTGTTGGAGTTACCTGCATTGAGAACAGACTGCATGGTTGAACCTACCATTTGTACGCTTTCAGAAGCTTCGATCACTCCAATCTTGCATATTGAGGGTGTTCCTTGTCAGTTATAAAACTGTTCAGTTTTACACTGTTTGCTTCACCCATCTTCGTCGATTGTGTTACCATCATCACAAGTCTCATTGCTCTCAATCTTACCATTACCTCAGACTTCTTGTGAACACACTGATGGGTAAGTAGAAGAGCAATGCCAGTCAGACTCAATTAGGCAGTCGGGGGTACATCCATCTCCATCAATGTTATTAGCATCATCTCATTGTTCTGAAGAGTCTTGTCTTCCGTTTCCACAAATAAGGTTGCATGTTGATGGGAAGCCTGAGCATTCATAGCCAGGCTCAGTGTTGCAGTTTGCATCTCAGCCATCTCCATTGGCTATATTACCATCGTCTCATTGTTCTGAATCATCTTGACTTCCGTTACTTCAGATTAAGTTACATGTTGATGGATACCCAACTCATTCATATCCACTTTCAACAACTCAGCCTGAACATCCATCTCCGCTATTAGTATCTCCATCATCTCACTCTTCAACTCCATCCTGAACTCCATTTCCTCACATAAGTGTGCATACATCTGGATTCATTCCTGTTCAACTAAACCCAATCTCCACCAATCAATTAAAACTACACCCATCTCCACTCGCAGATCCTCCATCATCTCATTCTTCTTCTGGATCTCTACTTCCATCTCCTCATGAAGCCACAAGTCTTCTCATAGTCTATAGAAAATTCAACCTTTGCAGCTTCAAATCAGTGGTTATCAATTACTAGTTTTTACAAAAACGGGAGATATACACTTTTAGAAGAAGTTTTGAAAATTATTTTGCTTTAAGCTGATTGATATAATTTGTATTAAAAATTATTGTTAGTTTAGATTTAGTTTGTGCTGGTAATGTAAGAGGAGTTGGAGAATAAAGGTTCGAACTGGAAGTGTTTGTGAAGAAATATCCTGGATATGGTCTCTGTTATTGGTATTAAGGATTTTAACAAACTACCCAAGGAATGGAGCAACTGATATCTGAAAGGAAGAAGTAAATGTATATGCTTTAAATAAGAAAGCTGAAAAGCACTCAAAGAAATAGACTACAGATCCTTACTAATAATAAAGGAATATCTGTCTACTCCATCAAACCCTGACTAATAATAACACAGCTTAAGGGCTTTTAAACAGACTCTGAGAACTGTGGAGGAAGTGGCAGAGGAGGGATCAGAGCTGGAAGTAGGAAGTAGAGCAAGGGGATGGGAGTGAGGAGGAATTGGGAGAGTGGGAGAGGGTGGGGATTTTTAGAGGGGAAGGGGATGGGGAGAGGTTTGATTTGGGCTGGTTTTAGGCTTACGTTTGGATTTTGGAGGTTTCATGGGTTTATAATAATCATTCATAAGCCTATATCGGAATTGATCAATGAATCATTTTGTAAAAAATTGAGATTTGGGTATTATTGTTTCTTTAATAGTAACATGCTTACCAAAAAGTAGTATACTTTTTGTTGTGATTAATCTAGTCCTCATAAGTGCTCTTGTATCTTTTAAATCAAACATATAGATAAAAAACTTTTCAATAGCTTAGATATAATTTGGGGTTTTGGGGTTTTGGGGTTTTGGGGTTTTGGAG